TAAAGGAAGACTTACAGGTAAAACACAGCCATTTGCAGACAATGGTCCTAGTTAATGGGAGGTTTCAGAGTAGCAGCCGTGTTAGTCTGTATCCGCAAAAAGAACAGGAGTACTTGTGGCACCTTAGAGACTAACAAATTTATTAGAGCATAAGCTTTCGTGGACTACAGCCCACTTCTTCGGTATGCATCCGAAGAAGTGGGCTGTAGTCCACGAAAGCTTATGCTCTAATAAATTTGTTAGTCTCTAAGGTGCCACAAGTACTCCTGTTCTTTTAACTATTTTCTATCATCTTTACATTATCTACATGTGATTTTTCTAGGCACTTTGGGATCTGTCCCATGAAGTTTTAGCCATTTATTTTTTGAACTTCCATCACAAATACTCACTTCTCCATGTCAAGCTATTCCCACTGACAGGACTAGGAGGAGTTGGATGCTTATTTGATGAGGTTCGTTGCGTTAGGAGAAGTATCTAATCCCAATAAATCCCATCTTTACCTGTTGGACCACAGTGGGTGAAATCGCCCTCCAGTCTAATTACTGTTAGTGGTCGAATCTCACAAAGAGTACCTAATAAAGCCTTTGGCCTGTGAGAGGGAGCATGGCTTTGGGGATCTGCTTACATTATTGCTGAAGTCCAGGCTTCTTAACATGTGAAGGAAGAAAGAGCAGGGGATATCATCTGATCTCCCCTCCCCCCAAAAAGACAGTTACTTTCTTTATAAGGTAGCTGTGAGAATGCATTACACAACTTAAATGATAATCCCTCTAAGAACCGATCTTGCGTTGCTTGTTAGCCCTCTTATGGCTCTTTGGATCTTAGCCACTCTAATCTCCGAATCCAGAAATGGTTTGATTGCTCCAAGTACTTTGGAAATGCCCTGCATCCTCAGGGTTAACTGTTCTCTTGAGGGTAGGGGTGTTATGTAAACTCCTCATAAAAATCCTTCCATTTTAGATGAAGTGAGGCGCTCCTCTTAATTATTGATTTCTGGGATGTTTCTTTTGATTCCTCCTTTTGTACCTGCCAGGTGAACAGACTACTATGGGCCTGGTCTGCAGCCCTGACTCATCCAAGTAGGCTCTCGCGGAGTTGACTTGAATGTAGCTGAGGACCACAGGATCTAGCTCAGTGTTTGTCCCAGTGAGAGGAAACCGAAACATAGTTTTGGTTAAATATTAAAGGTGGCTAATGTCTGATATTCTCTGTCCTTGGAAATCCTAGTAAGAGTCTATTTTTCCAGGATTGTTTATAAATTATACACCAGAGGTAACCCCTAACCCCCAGAGTGGTTAGATGCCCAGCTATGCTGACTCTTGTTCTCGTGCAAAAGGTTAAATGGCTTAGCCTAATTAGGGTCTTGGGAAAGAATTTCATATCTTTCTAGGTTCTGTTTATTTATCTTAGGGCTTTATGGTGCCTCTCATCACTGTAGGATCTAAGCATACTCCCTTTAAAAGCAATAGCAAATTCCCAAGTGGATTTCATTCACCTTTTGGCACTTCTCCCTTTTTGAGGTCAACATTCTGCTAAAAACAACAGAGTGGTGTGGGGTTTCGATTTTATTAATTCACCCCTTTTTATTGGTAGGGGCTTAGCGAAAGAGGGGCTGTCAGTGTTGTGTCACTATTAAGATAAAGTGGCTTTTTTATATATGAAGATTTTGCAACGTTCTCTAAAGATAATCAGACTCCAAATTTGCCTCATCTTCTCTGCGAGTTTGTTCTGCAGTCAGATCCCCTCATCAGAGAATGCTTTCTCCCCAGCTCTCCTGTGCTTTGTCTTGGGCTTTGTGATCTGCATTGGCCCAAAGGAGTGGAGCTGTCATAGTGGTTGACAGATCAGCATTGAGTCTTTGATGTAGCTAGGACATGACCCTTTGTGACGTTCCCCTCTGGTGTTATCTGGACCGGTGATCTGCTAGGTCACTCCAATCCTTGACTCTGGGAGCCAGCCTTACCCTGCTCTGCTGTGAGAACCCCCACTCATGGGCTGTTCACGCACAGCCTCTGGCATGTAAGCTGCCCCTCGGATTGTGCAACCGAATAACACTAGCCAATATCTCCGGTCCCAGACACAACCCTAGGAACCTTCATCTTGCAGTGTCCAGTAATGCCCACTGGACGCTGCAAGCTTATATGAGTTCGTCAATTTAACAAAGAAATTGATATATACCAGGCTTGTTATCCCAAGGGGAGTCTCTGACATGCTTCAAACCAAACGCACTGCTTCAGGTAGAATAAACAAACAGATTTATTAACTACAAAAGATAGATTTTAAGTGATTATAAGTCAACGCACAAGAAGTCAGATTAGGTCAAATGAAATAAAAGCAAAACGAATTCCAAGCTGATCTTAACACTTTCAATGTCATTACAAACTTAGATCCTTTTCACCACAGGCCGGCTGGTTGCTCTTCAGCCAGGCTCTCCTCTTTGATCAGCGCTTCAGTCGCTTGGTGGTGATGTCTGTAGATGGAAGTAGAAGAGAGAGAGGAAGAGCATGGCAAATGTCTCTTCCTTTTATCATATTCTTTCTTCGCTCTTGGCTTTGACCTCCCCCCCCCCCCCCCCTTCAGAGTCAGGTGAGCATCACCTCATCAGAGTCCCAAACTCACCAAGGGAAGGGGGGTGACTCACTCGAGAGTCCAACAGATTCTTTTGTTGCTGTCTAGGCCAGTGTCCTTTGTTCCTGTGAGGCTGGGCTGGGTTTGTCCCATACACACCCTGTTGAGGTGTGAACTGCCCTTCTGTTCCTGGAGAGTTTTTGCCTGGGCTTATTTTAAGCCATAAGGATACATTTTCAGCCTCATAACTATATACATGAAATTACAACTTATAACATCACTATAACAACCATGCTCAGTGCATCATGAGCCTTCCGAACACACCCAACATGACAAACTTTGCATTGGATACCACACAATCATTTTACAAGGATGAACGTGGGGGTGCTGGGTGTTCCCCCGAGGTACAGAGCGTTATACCGTTCAATTAAGGGTTCTTATGCCATGCCCTTCACCGTAGTCTCTGAGCCTTCTCTCCAGCATTGGTTTGGGATCGTCTGTTAAGGAAGGTAGGTGTGTTTTCTGGTGATTTCAAGGGGATTTGTAGGTATGGGCGGGCATCAGTCCTTCATGCCTGCTGTGTTTCTAGGTCCATAATTCTTTCTAGTGCTGTTAATTTTTTCCCTGTGGTGCAAAGAAAACATTGCAAAGCAGATCATCATATTTCCGTCTTTGACTTAAACTATCTATTTGCAACTCTTTTTTCCCCAGTAACTCGTCATAACCACTTAAAGGATTTCATGTTGGTGGTGTCCATTGTCATTGGAGTGGGTGGCTGCTGGTTTGCCTACATCCAGAACCGCTACTCAAAGGAGCACGTGAAGAGGATGATGAAAGACCTAGAAGGGCTTCATAGAGCTGAGCAGAGTCTACACGACCTTCAAGAAAGGTGAGTCCTACTTAAGCTTTGTCTGGAAGTGGGTGGTTAAGTCTCCACTGTTAGTTTGGATTAAACCAGTAGCAGTCAGCCTCTTATTCTGTGAGGGTGTCAGCCATAAGTACCCGACTGCTTAGGTCATCATAGCAAACCTATTACCCAGTTGGCATTACTGATGTGGCTGCACAGTCTTTGAAGGCATTTGGTCAGCTCGTTAAGAAATTTGGACATAACCCCACCCTTGCCACTCCCTGCACAATGTGCACTGGTTAGATGTACTTGGGATGTGCCCCATCAAAACTAGAATCGTTAAAACTACCCTCATGTGCTATTATAAAGCCTGCTGCTGTCGCGTAAAGTCACTATGCTGAATTGGCAGCATGAGGCACAAGCATCTCATGTATTTTTAGTGGACTTGAGCAGCACAAATAGTAGTTAAGGCTGAATGCTGATTTCCACCTTAATTCCCTTTTGTTGGTTGCTCAGGTTTTTCTCAAATTTCGGTTGGGCTGTAATTTTTAGAAAGAGAATGAATTTTGTAGGACCGTTTTCACCAAATCGGTTGTGCTGTCTTTGAGACGGTTAAATATGAAGGGCCTGGTTTCCTCTCCCCCCCCCTCCCCCCGCCAAGTCCGTCATATTCCAACTAGAACTTTCATACTTTGATCATTAACAACTGCAAACACTCTGATTCTTACCTAACAGGACTTGGATGCCCCTGCTGTAGTTGACAGGGGCTTGACACCCTTGTGTTTGAGCCTATTGTCTTACTTTAAATGGGAACTTGCTACCAATGCGTCATACTTTCCTGTGCTACAGCAATGAAGCTGGTCAGCAATTGTTCCTTTGTGTCAGTCCAAACGATACTGAAAGAAACCAGAATTCTTCTGCTTTCCTTTTAAAAATCACAAAATAGACCTGCTCCTACAGCAAGAAAGGGCCTTTCAAAAAGAATGTTAAGTAATCTGGCTCCTTCAGAATCCATCATCTGGACTGACTCGGGTTGCATCTTCATATTAGCCAAGAGAGAGGGTGAAACGCATCAATATTCTGGAAATGGTTCAGGAGAGGAATTTGGCCAAATTTCCTGATGGCTTCAGCCACCGCTTCCCAGGCACTACAAGGATATCCAGTTCTCATAAGTTGTTTACTAGGAAGCACAAAAAAAAGTTAGAAAATTCAATACAGGAACATTAAACATAAGCAGCTGAACTGTCTCTTGTTCATCATAAAAATGTTTCCATTTCGTCTTTGGCAAAATACTGTGGGCTGAAGAATGCAACTTTTACTCACATGAGTAATGGCATTGACCTCAATGTGGCTACTTACCTGTGTAACGGCTGCCACAGGGCTTATATTATGGACAAAGGGCTACTACTGACAATCTCATTTTCTTTTTTTAAAAAGGTTAGTTTCTTGCTGAAATCACCATTTTTAACAGAGCCTGGCTCTTATTATTTTTACTTGTCTCTTGAATATAATTTTCAAAGATAAAGAGTCCAGTCTGGTTGCCATAGAAGTCGATGGCTAAACTCCCAATGACTGCAGTGTGAGCAGACTTGTATTCCAATCGTTTGTGTGCACTAGCTAGCATGAAAAGTTGCCTGTACGTGTGCCAGCATCTCAGGAATGTAAACCTGCCGTGAAGATTTTTACAAACACTTCAGCCGTTGGAAACCGTGCCATATACACACGCAGTACTGGAGCCCGGTTCCTCACCTATCCTGTCAGAACAGCTGTCAGAGAATAGCCCTGCTCATGGGTGTTGTGTTTGTGAGAACTTTCTTCTGTCAAGTAGCTGTGTGTGATGACATTAGTTGGCATTCACCTGAAAGGAAAGATGCGTGTCAAGATGATGGTGCCAAATTCCCTGCCTTTCCCTTCTCGGTGACACACACATATGATCTGCTTTGTTCCGGACATGAAGAGAGGGAAAAAAACTACATTTACTCTATGTCTTTGAGGCAGCCAGTTCTGAGCAACAAATCATTTCAGAGTTATGTATAATGTTACCATTGCCAGATTGACAATTCCCCGAAGAAAAAGGATTTGCTAAAGTGAGAAACCATTAGGATTTCCTAGTTGAAGTGACTGCCCATTGAGATAATTACTGTAGAGCATCCGAATTTTACTCTGTACCTTTAAGTGTATGCTTTTAGGTAGGACTGGAGGTAACTGCTGAGTTTATGCTGGGGATTCAAGAGTAAGTTACCCTGTAGGCACTGGGCCTAAATACTAACATTGCTGCAAACGTGCTGTGTAAGACATGACCTTGGGATCTGCCATTGAAGATAGGACAACATAAACAAGGAGATGTGCCGGTGAACATTAGCTAATGCCACCTAAAGCCAAACAGGAAGAAACCTGAAACCGCACATGCCAGGCATGGCTAAAAGCTTCAGAGAGACCTCCTCCTGACAGGTCTGCAGAGCATTAGGGTAGGAAGGATTGTCTGTGGATAGAGCACTGACCTGGAAGGAAGGAGGTGAGTGATCATTTCCTGGCTCGGTAGTGACCGTGGTGACTCCCTGGTGACCGTGTGCAAACACTCCCATACCTCACATGCTGCTGAAAGGATAAATGTATTAGTCTGCGAGGTGCTCAGATGCTACAGTGACAGAGAATGCTACGTACAAGACATCTTTCAGTGGTCCAAATGGAAGTCCTTCCATGGTTCTCTTTGAAAAATTGTGAATAATCTGGGTTCCAGACAAACGATGTGAGTCACCCTAAAACAGGTGTCTGTCCCAGGTGCTGAGTACGTAATGCCTTTTCCACGGCCTATCAAATGGCTACTCCATTGCCTCACTTAGGACTTCGTGAGGGCCGTTGAGATAACCTAGAGCAGGAAAGGTTGATCCAGCAAGCCAAATTCTGTTCTAATCTAGAACATTTACAGGATATCCTTATTGGAGACTGTTCCCAGGAAGTCTTCCAAATTGCTTGTACTTATATCAGTGTAAATTCAGAATAACTCGACTGAATTCAGTGGAGCTCCACTAGTGTAAAACTGGTGCCTGTGTGAATCCAGTCACACTGACTGAGAACATGCAGGGGAAAGTTGTTGTTGTCTCTGGTGAGCAACAGAGGAAATGATGGACTGTCGTTTTCATGAAACATGAATAATAAAAGGGTGGGGAACAGAAGAAGTCTGACTAGTGCATTCAAGAGAAATCTTAAGGATTAATCCTCCCCCTCCCCCCATGACACACACACCACTGGGACATTTCCCCTTTAAACAGAGGGTATTCTAATGTATGTGGAGTATTAACAAGCCTAGTATGGAAGTGATGGAGCAATGATCCATGGAGGGCAGAGAGCGTGGGTTTATCTCTAAACTTGGAACATCTCAATAGGATTGTTTTTAAAATTAGGAATGAAAACATTTGTGTTTCTCAGCAGAACTATAAATTGAAAATAAACCCTTGTCCAGCAGCACAGCCAACAAAATGGCTGAAGAAAGTCCAGACCATCCTAATTTTGTTTTGAATTGACATCTCCACACGGTGAGGAGGCTTGTGTTTGCAGTGTATTACACTCTTCAGTGGAGCAGTGGACTAGCCTCTGCTCCCAAAACATGGGTTTCGTTTGTTCATAGTAATGTTTCGAAATGCGTCTTTAACATTCTTCCCATTTTTTAAATCGGGGCTGTGAAGTAAACAGAAGGCAGATGCAGTCCTTTAGTTTTGTACAAGCTCTCGAAGAGAGCAGTCTAAATGTGTATATTACACAGCCGAATTCTGCGATAAGGATCGGCTTCGCCGCATTTTGTTTGTTTGTATCTGAATGGTCACTTGTGGGCCCATGAACCAGGCGTTTCTCAAAGTCTTGTGCATAGAAGCAAAGTCTCACGCAGGCAAGTTCTGCTTCCCTATCCCTCTTCAAGCTTTAACAAAAGTCAACCTTCCTGGCGTCTGGTTTGTTCGCACAAGTTGCTTCCCACAAACACTCTTCTTGGGGCTGGAGGTTTTCCTTGCCATCCCTCCTCAGAGGGTCTTGATTACTCCCAGTACATCTAAAGGAAACCTGCCAGCCAAGGCTTCTAGTGGCCTGGGCAAGTGTCCTTGCCTTTGATTGCAGTTTGTTCCTGGCGCACCTCAGAGCCGCTGTGCTGCACATATCTCACAGTCCTTTCCCTCTTTTTGGTTTGGAAAGGGGGGTAAATAATCAGAAACTGGGCTGTTATTCCATTTTGGGGATTGGATACCCTGAATAAGAAAAGATTTGGTGACTGGAAATGCTTTTGCTTTTAGCTGGGATGATTCATCTTGCAGTTTAGTTTTTAAAAGTCGTCCGCAGCCTGGTCTATAGCTATTTTCGTAGCCAGTCATTGAATCTTTACGCTTAAGCCCAGTAATGGTTTCATTGGCTCAGTTTATGCCTGCCTGACCTCAGAAAGCTTTTATCCTCATAACTACTAAACCATGCTGAAGTTCTCCTACAACTCCAACAAATCCTAAAAAGGAAACGGACTGACCGGAACATGGAGTATAAATAGAAAGGATGGGTTTGTTTAAGTTGGGACCGGAACCTGACCTGCAAGGACAAGGGACAAAAATGTCTTCACAATGCACTCTGGGTCAGAAGGTCTCTACTATTTAAACACACTGTTGTGTCCAGCTGTTATTGATTTACCTTCTACTGTAGCACAGGATCTCTGGAGAAAAGAGGAAAACAGCTCAGAGTTTAAGGTCAGAAGGGACCATTAGATCATCTAGTCTGACCTCCTGCACACCGCAGACCATAGAATTTCATCCAGTTACCCCGGCATTGAGCCCAATAACGTGTGTTTGACTAAAGCATCTTCTAGAAAGGCATCAAAAGATAGAGAATTCACCACTTCCCTTGGTAGTTTGTTCCAGTGGTTAATCACCCTGTTAAAAAGTGTGCCTTATTGCTAGTGCTTAATTAGGTGCCGGAGGCTCAAGCAATTTTTTTTACTTTCATAACTGATGCGGTAAGCCCAGAGGTGCCGGGGCCCTGAACTGCCAGGCCCGGAGGTGCCGGGGCCAGGAACTGCCAGGCCCGGAGGTACCGGGGCTCAGGACCGGCACAAATTAAGCCCCCTGCTTATTGCTAAGTTGAATGTGTCTGGCACAGTTTCCAGCATTGGTTCTTGTTCTGCCTTTCTCCACTAGATTAAAGAACACTCTAGTACCCAGCATTTTCTCCTTAGGAAGGTACTTATACATCATTAGTTTTTGTAGCCTAAATGATAAAGTGAACCCCGCCCCCAAACACACACATTTCAACTGAATAAATGCTGCAGAAACATTGTCTTAAAATTGGCAGTCAGTCTACCTGTTAGAAATGATCATTGTACTTAGTTTATTTTAAAGAAAAACTAACATTTGGAATTTGAAGTGGTTTTGGTGACAAACACTAGAGATTTTTTTATATGGAGATATACCTGTCTCACAGAGCTGGAAGGGACTTTGAAAGGTCGTTGAGTCCAGTCCCCTGCCTTCACAGCAGGACCAAGTACTGTCCCTGATAGATTTTTGCCCCAGATCCCTAAATGGCCCCCTCAAGGATTGAACTCACAACCCTCGGTTTAGCAGGCCAATGCTCAAATCACTGAGCTATCCCTCCCCCCTCCTTTGTACAGGCCAGTTGGAGTGAGTCAGGTAGAATTTGTCCTAGTGCCTCCTCTCCTGCTTTGCAGCTCCTGTTTTCTTCCTGGGTGCACTCAGGAGGCTGCAGCGCCGGGGGGCTGTGTCAGAGGGAGGCAGCAGCAGAGACTTGGAAGCAAATGAAAATGCAGTAAAAAGCCTGACCCAGCAGGCTGAGCAAGGGTACCCAGGAAAGCTATTGAAAAGAGCAGTATTGGGTCCTTGAAACTCCTGGATGCACCAGCATCAGTTTCCCCGACCCAAGGGTAAATAATCTGTAATTTTCTCTTGCATCCATGCAAAATCAATACTGATTTAATCCCATGTTGGAGAAAATTAACCACTCCTGGGAGGAGGGTGTGTCTGAATTTGGATCCAGTGGGAAATGGAGTATGTTGGCAGATCTCATTTGCAAATATACACGTGCGCAGCCACGTCCCGAGGCCCATTAAAACTCAAGTATTTACCTCCTTGGAGTAGAGTGATATAGATGATGTCCATTTCCATAATGGCGAAGGCCTTTGTTTCTGGGTTTCTGTGAATGCGCAGAGGACTCAAATGAGTTTGCAGCGCATTTCATCAGACTGTGGCTTGTGTTCTTCTGGTATTTCAAAAATAAACGTGGCTGAAAATCTGAAGTTGATCATTTTAGTTTCATGACAAACTTTTCCTTGAGTTTTCTTAATGTTGGCGTTTCAGTGCCCAGAGAGACTGTGCTGAGTTGTGCTTTCCCTCTGGATTTACAGCAGCATCTCTCCACTGTTATCAGTGGAGTTTCTCTGGGTTTACACCAGTGCAGGTGAGAGCAGAGTTTGGCCTTGTATGTCCTCACGTGTGTGCAGCCAGTCATGCAGTAATTGCTCAGTGGGCTCCTTCGCCCAGGGACACACAGCCCTGCGTGCACTAGCGGTTCCCTGTGCCTGTGTGCATTAGGCTGCAGAAGGCCCAGGAGGAACACCGCACGGTGGAAGTGGAGAAGGTGCATCTGGAGAAGAAGCTCCAAGACGAGATCAGCATCGCCAAGCAAGAGGCACACCGGCTGCGGGAGCTGCGCGAGGGGACGGAGAACGAGCTGAGCAGACAGAAGTACGCTGAGCAGGAGCTGGAGCAGGCAAGCATTGCATACCATACGTACAAGCAGAAACGGGGGGCGGGCGGGACACCCACACGCTGTATGGCCATTGCTGCATCCCCCCGGGAGACACAGCTAGACTCTCCTTAGTGTGCCCTGTTGCCACCGTTCTCCCAGTTGACCTTAGGGATAGAAGAGATCCAACTATCTCTGCCACTTTCCCCCAAAGGCGCCTTCTCATGGGGCCCATCCGTGCTGCTCTCTGCAGTCACCAGAGGGGATCCCTGGAGAGCAACACAAGACACGCTTCCAGTGCTGAATGTGCTGCCCCTCACTCCATAGCCTCTGCCGTCCCCGAAGGGAAGGTATGGAGTTTGAGCCATACCTCTGATCCTTCTGTGCTGAGACCCAACCAGAGGGCTTTCCCCTTCGTACGGCACTTTACGTACTGTATTTTAGGAGAACTTGAGGCAGCAATTAAATTCATTCTAAACTGCTTCTGCAACACCTCATCCCCCTCTTCCCCCAAGAGCCTCCAAGCAACTTAAACACTTGCTGCCAGAGTTGAGTATTTACATACATATTTGACCATGCATCTGACGAAGTGGGTATTCACCCACGAAAGCTCATGCTCCAATACTTCTGTTAGTCTATAAGGTGCCACAGGACTCTCTGTCGCTTTTTACAGATCCAGACTAACATGGCTACCCCTCTGGCACTATTTACATACAGTTTCCCAAGACAGTAGTTTCCTGTTTAGGCTATCGCACACAAATACACCTCAGAATACGCTACAGTCCAGCACAGCCACCCACGTGTTGTCACGTAAATACAAGTTGTATTGTTTGCATTGTGTGTGTCAAGTCACACCCATTGCCCCCTTCCCTCCTCTTTAAATTTGTAATGAAAGCTGAAGCCAGCGGTGACTTAACCAATCTGTTGTTTCTTAGAGGCCTTCCTGTGGGATTCATTGAGTGGGTGAGTAATGGCTTTATCCACCCAGCGTGCACTGTGTGATGTAACACAATCACCGCTGAAATGAACTAGAGGCCACAGATGTAATTCACTCGCCACTCCCACTGACCGTAGAAGCCAAAGGCAACCTGTCAAAAGTCTAAGATACTTTTGGGTCCCTGTGAATCCTGAAATCTGAGCTGCTCTTGCACCAGTTGATGCTGCTAAGATGATGATCTGTTTTTTCAAAGACCGTGTTGGAGGCTCCTACTGAGAGCAAAGTTAGCCAGGCCTCAGTGAGATGGGCTCGTCTGTACTAGAGTGTACACACTGACCCCTTCCAGTGATGTCAAACCCCACCTAGATTATAAACCCTGCTCATGCTTCAGTCTTTCCAGAGCCCATTCTCCCCTTATGTATTGGTCCCCTTACTGGCATTTTACACTGCTACCTTCCTGTTCAGTTTCCCAAACCAGATTCTTTTGTTTCCGTGTGAACCCGGCTGTTCATAAACATTTTGAGCAAATGTCCGGTCTCAGAGCCAAGTGGTTCATCTCCACAGTTCTGCTCTGCCTGTGTGCTCAGCACTCCCAGGCACTCAGATACCATGGGGTTGGGGGTTGGGTCAGAACCTAGATGGATTAGAGAGGACAGAACTCCATGTATGGTAGGCGATCAGATCAGTGGAAGTTGAGATTGGTGTGGAGAATTTAGTCCATCATGAAGATTATGATGCTGTCCCTGTATTTCTATGAACAATTTAGGGAAATTACATTTAACATTTGTTAAAATTGCAGACAGTAGTAAAATGGTGAGTAGTTAACTCTGGAATGTGGCTGCTTTATAAGTCCCTCTAGACCAGTGGTTTTCAAACTGGGGTACGTGAGCTCTTGTCAGGGGGTACGCAAGAAAAATCCTGTAATGGCAGACAACACATTTTGTTTCGTAAGACGTGGCAATCTAATCATAAAGTATATTATGACCCTATCTCACATGAGGGTACGCGGTAGACTACTTTATTTGGTAAGGAGTTCACAGCCTAAAAAATGTGAAACCCACTGCTCTAAATGGACTGGCAAATGTGCTCACAGATAGAATATGAAATTTCAAATGTCTGAGTGTAGTGTGATGTCCTTGGCTAGAAATAATGCTCAAGCCAAATGCAGCTTAAATGGAGCTGAGTTAGTTAACACGGAAAAGGAAACTGATCTGGGTTTACTGAGAGATTCCTTTAAACATTTACATTCTCAATCCAGTGTGCAGCTGTCTATCCTGGAAAAAGAAAGGGTGTTCACCAAAGCTATGTTGACACATGCTTCTTGCTAGCAAGGTGCTAACGTGGTCTGAACCCTAGACAGGACCTGCTCCAACCCCCAATAAAGTCAATGGACAGACTCCCGTTGAGGTCACAGGGTGCTGGATCAGGGCCAGAGTGAACAGAGAGAACGCAAGTGACTCTTTTATTAACAATCCAAGGTGTTGTCCCAGTTACAGGGACATGGTTAGGCTCTGCCCACACTATAAACTTTAACTGTGTGAATATCAAATCAGGGGACAGCTGTATTTGTACTGTAGATGGGGCCTAAATGTGGTGGAATAAGGGTGGTGTAGTCATTGAAGGAGCCAGTTTAAAACATTTAGGGTTGGTGTTAGCGCTTTAAAAGCGAAAGCACACTATCTACCCCTTAAAGACAGCCTTAAACACAGTAAAACCGTCTATGTTTCTAATCAGGTTTGAGAGGTACAGTGATTTAGGGGTTAGAATGCACTGCGGGGAACTACGTCTTCTGGGTTCTGACCCTCTCTTGCTGTCACTCCGAGTAAGCCACTTAGCCTCTTTGTCCCTCAGTTTCCCCATCTCTAAAACGAGGCTAATGCCTCATCAACATTGTTTGAGGTTTAATATTTGCAAAGCACTTTGAGATCTGATGAAAGGCACTAAATATGTGTAAATTCTTGTTAATGATTACCAAAGACATGCATTTGTCCAAGGGTTTTGTGCCTTCGGTGTGCCTGCCACCCCCTGGTTTTTGATCCTCCTGTGAACTCGGAGTTCCTTCAAGTCCAGGCCGGGGAAGAGGCTTGGCTGTGCTGCAGAGAGAGGAATTGCGGATGGAACATGTAACTATTCGGACCAAGCAGCACACTTTGTATCTAAATGTTCCTGTCTTTTTGCTCCAGTGTGAAAGTCTCTTTTTAACAAGCCCTTTGTGTTTGGGTTAGTCACTGCACTGAAAAGAGGCAGCTGCCTGCTCAGAGTTGTTAGCATGTCTTTGCTTGAAGGAAAGCTGCAATTCCACACCTTGCAGATCAGAAGGGAGGGGGACAGAGATTTACAGGGCTTGGAGATAAACACTCTGAATACCTTTACTCGGGGCTTGGTTCTCCTCTCATCCAGTCCAGTGTTATTCCACTAAATCAACCGCAGTGACTCCTCTTTTACCTCACACCAGCGTAAATCAGAATCAGGCCCTCCATCTTCACAGACTTAGAGAGATGGACTAGATCTGCATTGCATAAACTACCAGCTTGGTTAAGCAGGATGCTGAAGTGATAAGGGACAACCACAGCCCAATTGCTGAGAACGGTAGAGCAAAACGACTCCAAAAGGGACCCAGCCTGCAGAATGGAGGGAAGTCCTGTAGGTTGCTCTAATTGCTCATGCAGCAGCTTCTTCCGTGCAGGATGATCCCCAAGGAAGAGAATGGTGCTGTCCTACCCCCCTGGTAGCACAGTTGTCCCATTGGCTCAGTGCACAGGAATTCTCCCTCTTATACTAACCCCAAGCCACCGCCAGGAGTGAAACTAGGCTTGCTGGAGATTGTTTTTCTTTTTGGTGCCATTACAAGCGTTGGGCCTGCAAGCCACTATCCGCTGAAGGGACTACCTTGGAGAGTGCTAACTGGAATGAAAGGGCCCCCCTCCCCCACCTAGGCCTTCCTGTAATGCTGCTGCTGTGACTGTTTCCGTTACAGGTCCGAATGGCGCTGAAGAACGCAGAGAAGGAGCTTGAATCCCACTGCAGCTGGGCCGCACCAGAGGCCTTGCAGAAATGGCTCCAGCTGACCCACGAAGTGGAGGTCCAGTACTACAACATCAAGAAACAGAATGCGGAGAAGCAGCTGCTGGTGGCCAAAGAGGGGGTGAGAATTTCAGTCTCTTTAGTCCTAAATTCTTCGCTCCCTGAGGCTGGGGAATGAAATCCATAGATATTGTGACAAAGTTCCTCCTCTAGCTTGGTGGGTCCTGCGCTTATTTGCGGATTTGCTCACCTCAGAGATTCACCTTGAGACCTTCCCCTCTGGTAGAAGCCACAGTCCAGATCAATTCCTCCTGTGTCTGATCAGGAGCTGGGAGGTTTGGGGGGAACCTGGGCCCACCCTCTACTCCGGGTTCCAGCCCAGGGCCCTGTGGACTGCAGCTGTCTAGAATGCCTCTTGGTACAGCTGCACAACAGCTACAACTCCCTGGGCTACTTCCCCATGGCCTCCTCCCAACACCTTTATCCTCACCACAGGACCTTTCTCCTGGTGTTTGATAACGTTTGTGCTCCTCAGTCCTCCAGCAGCACACCCTCTCACTCTCAGCTCCTAGTGCCTCTTGCTCCCAGCTCCTCGCATGCACGCTACAAACTGAAGTGAGATCCTTTTTAACTCAGATGCGCTGATTAGCCAGCCAGTCCTAATTGATTCTAGCAGTTTCTTCTTAATTGGCTCCAGGTGTCTTAATTAGCCTGCCTGCCTTAATTGGTTCCAACAAGTTCCTGCTTGTTCTGGAACTGCCCCTGTTCCCTTACCCAGGGAAAAGGGATCTACTTAATCTGGGACTAATATATCTGTCTTCTAACACTCTCCTATAGCCATCTGGCCTGACCCTGTCACAATATTTACAGCGTCATAGATCTAGAACGTCTCTTTCTCTGTGCTGTTCTCTCCTGCCTGCGCCCATCTTTTCTTTCTGCGAACCACCTGCTGATTGATCCTGCTTGCCTGCCGTAGTGCAATATAAGGAAATACTTGCTTGCGGGGACTCGACCCCAGTCCTATTGCCACGTGTTGTGCTTTGTAGCTCTGGTTTGGGGAGATATCGTGTAACATCTTGACAATAGTATGTGATGTTGCTTAGTGCATAGAACCATAGAAATGTAGGACTGGAAGGGTCCTTAAGAGGTCCTCTGGTTCATCGCTCCACCCTCCCCTGGCGTTGAGGCAGGATCAAGTAAACCAAGACCATCCCTGTCAGGTGTTTGTTCAGCCTGTTCTTAAAGCCTCCAATAATGGGGATTCTGCTGCTTCCCTTGAAAGCCTGTTGCAGAGTTTAACTATCCTTGTAGTTAAAAAGATTTCCTAATATCTAACCTAAATCTCCCTTACTGCAGACGAAGGCCATCACTTCTTGTCTTACACAGTGGACATGGAGAACAATTGGTCACCATCCTCTGTAGAACAGCCCTCAACAGATTTGAAGCTGTTATCAGGTCTCCCCCTCAGTCTTCTTTTCTCAAGACTGAGCATGCCCAGGCTTTTTAACCTTTTCCAATAGGTCAGGGTTTCTGAACCTCTTATTAGTTTTGGTACTTTCCTCTGGACTCTCTCCAGTTTGTCCCCATCTTTCTTAAAGCATGGTGCTCAGTCCTGAACACAGGACGCCAGATGAGACCTCACAGATGCTGCAGATAGTGGTACAGTTACCTCCCGTGTCTTACATATGACACTCTTGTTAATACATCCCAGAATGATATTAGCTTGTTTCAAAACTGAATCACCTTGTTGGCTCATGTTTAATCTGTGATCGCTATAACCCTCAGATCCCTTTCGGCAGTACTACTGCCTTGCCACTTATTCCCCGTTTTGTAGCTCTGCATTTGATTTTTTCCTTCCTAAGTGTAGTACTTTGCACTTGTCGTTATTGTATTTCATCTTGTTGATTTGAGACCAATTCTCTAATTTGTCATGGTCATTTTCAATTCTAACCCTGTCCTCCAAAGTGCTGGCAACCCCTCCCAGCTTGGTGTCATCTGCAAATTTTATAAGCATCCTCTCCACTCCATTAGCCAAGTCATTAATAAAAATATTGAATAGTACCAGGCCAAGGACAAAACTCTGTGGGTCCCCACTAGATACATCCTTCCAGTCTGACAACAAACCACTGACTACTACTCTTTGAGTACAGTCTTTTAACCGTTTAACCACCCACCTTATAGTAATTTCATCTAAGAACATAAGAATGGGTCAGACAATGGTCCACCTAGCCCAGCATCCTGTAATCTGGGAGTGGCCACTGCCCGATGCTTCAGAGGGAATAAACAGAACAGGGCAATTGTCGGGTAATCCCTGCCCTGTAGTGCAGTCCCAGCTTCTGGCAGTCAGAGGTTTAGGGACACTTGGAACATGGGGCTGTGTCCCTGACCATCTTGGCTAATAGCCATTGATGGACCAGTCCTCCATGAACTTATCTAATTCTTTTTGGAACCCCATTATAGTTTTGGCCTTCACAACATCCTCTGGCAAGGAGTTCCACATGTTGACTGTGCATTGTGTGAAGAACTACTGCCTTTTGTTTGTTTTCAAACCCACTGCCTATTAATTTCATTGGTGACCCCTTGTTCTTGTGTTATGTGAAAGGTTAAATAACACTTCCTTATTCACTTTCTCCACACTATTCATGATTTTATAGACCTCGATCTTACCCCCCATCCCTTAGTTTTCTCTTTTCTAAGATGAACAGTTGCAGTCTTTTTAATCTCTCCTCATACGGAAACTGGTCCATATCTCTAATCATTTTTATCATCCTCCTCTGTACTGTTTCCATTTCAAATATATCTTTTATGAGATGGGGTGGCCAGAACTGCACAAAGGATACAAGATACAGGCATACCGTGGATTTATATAGAGACATCATGATATTTTCTCTCTTATTATCAATCCCTTTCCAAATGGTTCCTAACATTCTGTTGGCTTTTATGACTGCTGCAGCACATTGAGTGGATGTTTTCAGAGGACTATCTACAGCGACTCCAAGATCTCCTTTTTGAGTATTAACAGTTAATTTAAACTCCATCATTTTGAATGTATAGTTGGATTATGTTTTCCAATGTGCATTACCTTGCACCACATTTCCCTAATTTGCCTGTGAGAATGTTATGTGGGCCTGGGTGAAAAGTCTTACTAAAATCAAGATCTATCACTTCTACAGCTCTCCCCTATCCACTAGGCCAGTCATCCTGTCAAAGAAGGAAATTAGGTTGGTTTGACAAATCCATGTTGGCTATTGCTTATAATCCTATTACCTTCTAGGTGCTCCAAACTGATTGTTTAATAATTTGTTCCAGTATCTTTCCTGATATCAGAGTTAGGCTGATCGTTTATAATCCCCTGGGTCCTCTTTATAAAAACAGGTACTGTGCTTGCCATTCTCCCATCCTCCGAGACCTCATCCATCCTCCTTGAGTTCTCAAAGATAAGTGCTAATGATTCCGAGATTGCTTCAGCTGGTTCCTTAAGTACCCTAGAATGAATTTCATCAAACCCTGTCAATGTAAATACATGTAACTTATCTAAATATTTTTTTAATCTGTTCATTCTCTCTTTGGCTTGTGTCCTTCCCACTTGGTTTTGATATTGGTTGTGTTGAGCATCTGATCACCACTAACCTTTTTAATGAACACTGAAGCAAAATAGGCATTAAACACCTCAGCCTTCTTGATGCCATTCATTATTAGCTCTCCTTCCCTGCTAAGTAGTGGCCCTATTCTTTTCTTCATCTTTTTCTTGCTCCTAATATATTTATAGAACCTCTTCTTATGCCTTTTATGTCGCTTGCCAGGTGTAACTCATTTTGTACATTAGCCTTTCTTATTTTGTCCCTACATGCTTTAGCGACTTTTTGGTACTCATGCTTAGCAATTAATCCATGTTTCCATGGAGGTTTGATGACCATGGATACATGATGATATCTAATACTGGTCCATGATGCATGATGATATCAGGTACTGGTGTCATGTTTTACCTTTTCAAAGTGCTGCACAAACCTTAATTAAAGCACCCAACACAGTTGTTATAGACACTTTATAGATGGGGAAATTGAGTCACAAAGAGATGACGTGATTTGTGCAGTGTTGTACAGTGAATTAGCGCCAGAGCTGGGTTAGAACCGTTGAGTTCTAGCCGCATACTCAGACCACTGGGCCACATTGCTGCTCACTGAGGAAGTGGCTCTTTGGTGGATAAGCTTAAACCTGCTAAGGTGCATAACTAGCTGTTGCGTGCAGTGTCCTGCATTGTGAAACGTCTGTGAAAGGAGCTCTCCACAGCCCCAGTGAGAGCAAAACCGGCCCCAAGTGTCACACATATTAAGGCAGAGAAGTTTTGGACATGTAAAATATGTATGTGGCCAAGTCACTTCTCTGTTCCCAGCTGTTTAAAATCTTCTGAGCGAAGCCGAGAGCAGGAAGCTATTGCAGCCAATGCGCTTGGCTCTCTTGACATTGTACAGCAGTCAGAGGTGACAGGACAAATATGAATTTGTCGGTCTTACCACATGCTGACCACAAACGCCATCTCCCCGGGTGGTGTCAGCTGCAGCGTTCCTGCCCCCCGTTTGCCTTTTGCAACTCTGCAGCAAACATTATTAGAGCATAAAGACCAAGGATCTGTATGTAGGGACTTAAGACTCAAATATACCGAGTGTTCTAAAGAGGAGGAAAACCCCCCATTTCAGGATGTTAGGATTCTGTTGATAAAGCTTTCGTTGGTCTTTCTGGTAACGAGCCTGTGGCGCGGGAGGAGTCCTTAGCTATGCAGTTGTAGCTGGTGCTCTGGACTTTGTCCTGACCCCGCTCTCGACTGACACCCTAGCCAGCATGTTACGTGGCATAACATCCTTAGCTAAAGTGACAGTTCAAGCTACTTGCATGTGTGCAAACAGCCACAGGACTATTTCTGTCTTATCCTGTTCAGGATATTATTGTCCTGGAGGAAACACAAGGGCTGATTGTTCCGGTGACCTTTTTCTGTTAATATGTTTCAGGCTGAAAAAATTAAAAAGAAGCGAAACACCCTCTTTGGAACATTTCATGTTGCTCACAGCTCATCCCTAGACGACGTTGATCATAAAATCTTAACTGCAAAGTAAGTATCCACCTCATGTCTTCCTGCCATTTCCCCCAAATCCCTCCCCTCCCATGCAGGCGGCTGTAATACACGTATGTCAGTAAAGCCTGTTCTCATTTTTGGGGCAAGGCACAGATGTCCGGCAGACCTCTACAGATCCTGAACCCCAGGGAAAAGTCATTCCGTAAATTTGTTAGTCTCTAAGGTGCCACAAGTACTCCTGTTCTTTTTGCGGATACAGACTAACACGGCTGCTACTCTGAAACCTGTCATTCCATAGTGCGTGTTCTGCACAGCCCGTTCTAAATCCATTCTGTTGCACAGCATGAATTTGTTGGCCTTTCCTTTGCCTCAGTAGAAGCTGACCCTTATTTAATTCACATTTGTCAGGTTTTGGTGAATGTGTGAAATGTAATGGGTAACAAGTAACATTTTACCCCGTTAAAATGGAAAATTGAAGACCCGACCATTTACAGGTATTACAGATCCCATGTTTCTGCTCAGAGAGAGGGATGTTCTCCCCTGAGGTTCCAGTTGGATAGGGTTTCCTGCTCTAGCCTGTTGCTATATGCTGTGGCCATGTTCCCTCGGTGGTTGGTGAAGTTGTTCATATGGCTGATAGATCTATTCCTGTAAGTCCCTTCCTGTCATGGCGGAAGCATTCATTGGGATTTTGAGAAGCTAGCTACCTGTGAACTCCATCACACTAATCCACCAAATAACCTGAAGGCTCATTCATTTTCACTACGGTAAAGCTTCAGACACCACTCGCTTATTCATCTTAAAATTGATTCATTCATCTTACTTGTCTTCCAGGTTGAGATTTTCCAAGCCAGCTGGGGGTGTTAGCCAGACAGCACCCGTAAAAATCCAAACGAATTAAAATCTCCTGGTCAGCTTTAAAAATCCCAACCCAAGACTCTGAGATTTGCGTGGCTCAGAGCTGTATCACGATACTTTGACACTGACTCTTGTTGTCACACTGAGAACCTGTCTGGGGGTTAACACACAGAAAAATCCCATTCTGAAGTGGTTACTATGCAAGGCGGTCTGGAGAAATACACAGAGAGAGGAATCTCAGCTTAATCTTCTGACTCCCTGTTTCAGGCTCACTGGGATCTTCTATCTGGTGTAATTTGTTTCCACTGTTCCTCATTTGTTTTTCCTTTTCCCTTGTTCAAATCTTGTTTTCAGGCAAGCCCTGAGCGAAGTGACGGCCGCACTGCGGGAGCGCCTACACCGCTGGCACCAAATCGAGCTGCTGTGTGGCTTCCAGATTGTCAACAACCCAGGCATCCACACGCTAGTGACAGCCCTGAACATCGATCCCAGCTGGGTGGGCACCTCCCGGCCCAACCCAGCGCACTTCATCATGACTGATGATCTGGACGATCTGGACGAAGAGATTGTCTCTCCCATGTCCATGCAGTGTATGTATCCTCTGCTAGATGATGCGCACTGAGGCGAGTTAGCACTTAGCTACTGCTCCAGTGAGGGCAGTGTGATGCTCTAGATAGATAGGTGCAGAGAGCTGGGATATATTGGAAGGGAACGGTGTAGCCATATTGATTTTTAAACCAACAGAGAAAGCGTGAGAGTCATTCTAGTGCTGGCATGTCAGTATAAGCCCCACCTCCATTGCTGGAGGTATTTGGAAGCCATTAACTCCAGAAGTACTTACTAGCTCCAATGATGGAGAGACGTGTTGCTGCCCATGTTCTTCGTGGCAGCCTACGGTAGAAGTGAAGACAGAGCAGGAAGTTCTCAGTGTGAGCTGGGCAGAGGAAGAGAGGACATTGTGTGATTGGAGGAGCAGTGGGTCCCGGCGATAACCTGGCTGAAGCTGACTTGGAGCCACTTACTAGTGATGGCTTCATTATAAGCATGACAGGTGTGCTAGCTAGGGATTTGTCCGAGGAGACAGGTTCCTGAGAACCTGCGGCTAGGATTTAACCAGGCAAAAATATATCCACAAATCTTAATGGAAACCCCTGAGTTCAAATCGGAGTGAAGACTCCAGATTTGATCCTTAAGTGATATGGGCCCTGGGCTGAATTTTCATGTCTCAGATTTTGGGTGCCCCCCCACGGGAGATCCCTAGGGCTTGGGTTCCTGAGGTACTGAGCACCTGCGGTTCCTGTTCAAATCAATGACCAAGGTTCTCAGCTGGTGAAAATCAGGCCAGCTCAGCTGACGTAATGAAGCCGAACTGATTAACATCAACGAAGAGCCTGTCTGGCTCACGGCGGGCTGCGTGTGCTCAGCGCCTTTGCAAACCGAGCCCATGGCATCTCAAGTTGGGCTCCTGACACGAGTGACCCTTCAGTGTCACTATTGCCCCGCCCCCTGGGGCTCAGGGAGTGCCATTGCCTGTGTGCAGGGGCCCCTTAGGGGAGGAGGGCAGTTCTGTGGTTGATCCATTCCTGTCCCGTTCGGGTTGAGAATGCTGCTGAGTGCCAGTGATGATTATACCTGTAAATCAAACTTTTCTCTCTCCCTTTCAAACCTGATTGGCTAACCCCAGACGCGGCCTGGCTTTTGGGGCGCAGGTTCAGTGACCGCTCGTCTATCTCCACGGAGGATCTGTCCCTCTGGAAACACCCCGGTTTGGTTCTCTTGGTTGTTTTTTTTTTCACCCGCTGGACTAAAATATATCCACAATTTTTCCAACTTTTTGGCACAAAAACTAATTCACATGCTCTTCTCCAGTGAGACATTAGCAACTTTACTAACCTCTGGGCAGAGTCTGCTGGGATGAAGAAGAATTGCATGTTCGCTCCTTCCTCCTCACTTTGTGTTTTGGATTTTTAAAACCAAGGTTTGAAAGACAGTTTTGGTCAGGGCTTCCCTGCTCCCCTCCCCCTTCCTGGAGGACCCGGAGTAGCAATAACAACAGTGCCCTCCCTCTCTTGGGGTGATTCGGGCTGGTGGAGGGAGATGTCGGCCACAGATGTGATTGTTTTGATGCTATATACAGCACAGTGGAGACCGCATACAGCTCCTGCATGGAGGGAACATCTCAAGCAATTCCCCACTTCCACTGGTTAATCCTCCCTCAGTGGAAGTGTTGTCACGATACAGAGCCTGTCTGTGTGTGATGGCGGAGGGAGAATGTGGAGCTTCCTGGAGATCTGCCTCTAAAATATAAGAGGCTGGGGTCATCTTGCTAATCCACAAAGTAGGGAGCAAGATACCAGATGGTTAGGGTTTGATCCACCACTGGGTTACAGCAGTGGAACGCCATTGACTTCAGTGGAATTATGCTGGGGTAAACCTGGAGTACCAAGGTGATAAGTCAGGCCCAGAAAAGTAATCAAGGCCTTTGATGGACAATCTGTTCATATTTATAAGTCAGAGTATCCTCATGTAAAACAGGGACACACTAAGGTTGTGAGTTACCCTAGACCACACAGGGTATGTCTGCAGCAGGGTAACATCTATGGCTGGCTCGGGCTCGGGCGCTGGGGCTGAAAAATTGCTGTGTAGACGCTCGGGCTCGGGCTGGAGCCCTGGCTCTGGTACCCTCCACCCGCGCAGGGCCCCAGCTGGAGCCTGAGTGTCTACCCAGCAATCTTTAGTCCTACAGCCCAAGCCCGATTCAGCTGACCCAGGCCAGGTGTACCTGTGCCGTAGGGCTTTTACCGCCATATAGACGCACCTACAGAGACCGAGGCAGGATTTGAACCCAGGAGCCTTGACTCCCAGTCCCGTGCTCACTACAAGAGCTTGGTAAACAAAACCCAGCGGCATGACAGGAGTGTAAGGGACAAAGTTGGGGGATGAACAGCATGAATAGATCCCAAGGCCAGAAGAGACCATTGTGATCATCTAGACTGACCTCCTGTATAGCACAGGCCCGAGACCGGCCCCAGCATGGAGGAGGGGAAAGGCCCGGTGAGGAGGATGTGTCCCAGTAAGGAAAGAAGAGCCCTCAGTAGATCTGGAATCCCACAAACGTATCCCCCTCCTCCAGCTGTGTGATAGAAAAGCCTCTCCTCCGAAGGCAGAGTAAGACCCCACCCGGGCCGCTTGACTGTGCCAACATTGGTTCATGTCAGCAGCGCTCCATTTGAAGAAGAGAAAGGCATATAGCCCGAATAGACCCCAGATCTGGCCCCTTGCTGCTCCAGCTCTCTCCTCCTCCTCCGGCCACCTTCCTGGCAAGTGTTTCAGGAGCTAGAGATTTAGCTTGGATTTTAGCTCCACGTGACTTGATTTGTTAGGTTTATTTCAGTTCAGGATCCAGCAGGAAAGAAATTCTAGAAATGTTTAGGCTGCACAGTCGAAAGAGGGCCTCTGAAAGAATCATTGGTTGCAGAGAATAGCAGTAAGGGAACGGAGACCCTCACCAGTGGGAATCTCCTGGAGGAAACCGTGTGGCTAACCCTGAGAGTGTTAAGACAGCAGTTTGTTTGGATTATTTTTGTTGCATTTCTTACTATACAGTGACATTCCCCTTATACTGCAATATACCCAGGCAGTGATCATTCCGGAATCTGTACGTATTTGAACCACGGGATCCCCGGTTCTCCTAGCTGTGGAGTGGGTTTGACAGCAGCATTTTGCTGGTTCTTCAATTCCCAAAAGAGCTCTCCCTATACTTCACTTCTGAGCTTTTCTGTCCATTCACCTTTTTAACCATTTTGACATCACTGTCTTATGTGTATGCATCTTTAGACGCCAGAAAGTTTTGAACCCCCCTGCAAAGGAAACGTACAGAATAGGACAGCCCCAAGTGCAGCCCCTTGACTGCCGTAGGGAGATGCAGCCTATGGAATGTTGTGTCCCAGCATGCAATGCGCTGTCTTGATCTCAGTGGCCATTGCAGAGACCAGAAGTCGCTGCAGGATATATCCTTACTGCATACGGGGGCAAGACTCATCTGCTCCAATTCAGGCAAATGAGGGGTGTCCCTCAGTTGGGTAAAGTTCAGGCACCCTGGATAGAGGTTTTGGTGGCTGAAGAGCTTTGGGGCTTAGAATGGAAGAACACAGAGAGGTGGTAGTGCCATCAGACATCACTGTTATGCTGTAAAACTGTGCAAAATTACTGTCTGCCAAGCACAGCTCCACCAGGGTTGCATTTAGCAAGCAACAGTTGAGAACTTCCTGTGTCACATCCTAGCCTCTCCTCATTGGAGCACCGAGTTGGGTTGGGTAGGGTCAAGGAGTCTGGAAATCAAGAAGGAAGGGGTGGTGGCCTAAACATTAATGATCCTTTATTTCAATATCATGAACTTTTTATTTCAAGGATTCTGGTACTCAGCAATAATAAAAAAAAATCCATACGGAAGTTCAGGCAAGAAACGCATTGCCGCTTATAATTACCACATTAGAAACGCATTGCCGCTTATAATTACCACATTAGAAATGCATTACAGCCCATAATTACACACACCAGCTAAAGCAAGCCGTGAATCCACAGCTGTGAATGGTCAGACTTTGAAGGTAGTGATTTCCACTCAGTGCTGGTTCCTGGGCATAATTTTATAAATGATCAGTGTGCACTGGGTAAGGATTTATCTTACCAGCACTCTCCACGCTCAGAGGGTGAGATTTACCCTTTGCAGAGGGACCGGCTTATGTCCCAGGTTAGACTTTAGTGCCTAGGTCATGTGCTGGCCTCCTGTCCAGGGGCGAATTTCACCCCAAGTCGGTTCTACTCTGAGAAATGACTCCGTAATGCCCTCCTGGTGCTCCATGTTTATCAGTGCTCAGAGCCTTGAAGAGCAGATATAAGTAGAGATGGTTTTTCTGTCTTTTGGCCCGGGGAGCACCACTACTATTCTATTCTATGTAGGTTTTAGACTGCACTCATCACCGGAGCATGTGAACAATTACTCCTAGATTCTGCAGGCCAAGCTCTGCCCTCAGTGACACCTGTGCTGCCCCACCACTTTCAGATTATACTCTAACTTGTCCGCCTGTAACTTGGCCTGAGAACCGTATTCCAAGAGAAGGGTACGATGAGTCTACAAGTACGTACAGAACAGGTCTTTTTAATCTAGCAGACACAGATATAATGAGATCCAATGGTCAGAAGCTGAAGCTAGAAAAATCCAGACTAGAAATAAGGTGCAACTTTTTGAGGGCAATTAAGAACATTGGAACATCTCACCTCGGGGCTTGGTAGATTCTCCATCACTTGAAATCGATGTATTGAGATTTGAGGCCTTTCTAAAGGATATGCTGAAATGAAAGTTACGGGCTTGATGCAGGGAAGAGTGGGTGAGGTTCTCTGGCTAGTGCGATGTAGGAAGTCGGATTATATAATTGCAATGGTCTCTTCTGGCATTAAAAGCTGTGACAATGCAGGAGAAGGAAAGAAGCCAGCTTGGCTTTCAGACCCTAAGATGAATTTGGTATTGGAAAAAAAAATCTTGCAAACTGAGCACTCTGATGTGGAAAGGGAACTGGCTGATGTCATTTTTCAGAGCAGATCTGCACTTGGTGGGTGTATAAAATAGTGAAAACCGGTAACTATCCCTACTAACATTGGTTAGACCAGCTGATAGATCTCAAAAAGTCCTCCCTTGTCTTGCACTGGGCATCTCAGCCATCCAACCCTGCAGACAAAGGCACACTGTGAAAGTGCTGAGAGATTCCTGCACCTTTAATGGAAGCTTTCCTTGTGCTTCAGTTGAAGTGCAACTGTACTTAATCAAAGGACAAATCACGCTCTCAGCAGCAAAGGGGTAAATCTGGAGCATTTCCTTGGAAGCAGTGCAAATACACTGGGGTAGAACTGGTATCAGTAAAATCAAAATCAGACCCCTTGCTTCAGTCTCAAGCTAGTAATATAAACCTCTGATAGTGCACACTCCTCTCTGGTCACCCATGACAAGCATGGGGATAAAATAAGGAATGTAAAACCCTGTTTCTCTTGGGCTGGTCATTGATGGAAGCAGAAGCAAAGACGTAATGCCTCTTCTGTATCAAATCGGCACAGCTCACCGCATCCCTGACGGGATGGCTAAAAGGGCCAAAGCGGTGCTCCATTGGCACAGAGTTTGATGATCTGTGACCTGTAATGCTGACATGGGATGGTGGCTTTATGCCAGTGCAGCCTGGCTGGTTTAGTGCACGGGTTCTTCTCCAGCTGCAGTCAGTGTTCTCTTCTCTGTCGTTACAGCTGCCCCCTTGCCGAGCGGTGTCCGCCAGCGCGTCGTGGACCCGCAGCACTCCCTCGGATCTCAGAGGTTGGTAGAGAGTTACGTGCATGGCCAGAACGAGCCGGGCCAGCCTGCCCATTACCTGACAGGCAGAGTTGCTCTTCGTCGAATGCACAGCCTCACTTCTGGACAGTCTTTTAGTTCCGACGCTCATGGAACCAGCCCAGCATCCGCCACCACCGCCTCTTCCACCTCTTGCTCCTCCACCGCCACCACCACTGCATCTTCTCCTGCTTGCCATGCCCACCCTATCTATTACCATCACACCTCCTCCTCTTATATCCTCCAGATGGACACCGCCCCCGACCTGCCCCCTCCTGACGTCACCTCGGGGATTCGCTGTCACGCTGAGAGCTTTGGGTATACCGCTCCTTCTTTTCTAGCTCCCTCTAGCCTGCCGTGCCTCGGAACTGATGCTTGCTGTGGCGTTCTTCCTCTTGGAGTCCTTGTACCCTTTCCCTGCGGGCTATAATCGTTCCTTGGTTTCTACAGCTTTTGCTTCCTTAGTCTCTCTCCCATGTAAGCGGAGCGGTTTTAGGCACTTGGTCCAGTGCCTCATCTGTCCTCTCAGTGGTGATTAACCAATGAAGTGCTGTGGTTTTGGCTGAGAATTGCCTGTGTCTCCGACTAAATCGGTCTTTTTATTTGGGTGCTGTGCCTGCGGGAACAAAGGTAACACGACTAATCAAGCACACGCTGACCTTATTTGAAACCTTGTCTCATCTTTGGCTCTTCCCAAGCAAATTGCAAATGCGTGTAAGTGGTTAGCTCCTGGTGAGTGCTGCTGGGAGCACACGGCAGGAGCTGACGTGCCCCATTGTGTTCAGGGGGTGACGTGGGCCAGCAGTATCCGGGGAAGTCGAGCCCAGACTGACACTCTCCTTTGTGTCTCAGCCCCAGTCGTATGGCAGTGGATGGCCGAGCGATGAGCGTCTCAGCTCTCGGCTACCAGCTGTAGTCTGGTCCGTAATGACTAGAAGGCAGTGATGGCTGTTTGGTGGCCTATGGGAAATCAGTTAGTGGACTTGGTCCAGTTCAGACCATCTCACTGCTGATCAGCAGCCCTCTGAGCAGTGTCAGCAGAGAGGCCTTGGGAACTGAATGTCCTCTTCTTCCCTAGACGGGTCCTTCTAGAAGATGGCTGAAGCCCACTGTGATGAGAGCTTGTGCTGACACTGCTCATGTGCCTAGCTGTTCTGTGGCTGAAGTAGAGGATTCCACCTCTTGTGCTGCCCAGGGCGCCTTCTGCCACAATTCAGTTCACACACAATGAGTGAAAACAAACAGGAAAAGCTTCTCCGCTTATCATATGGACGTGTCTTGAGAGCACCTTTTGGGTCATGGGATTGAAGATAGCAGGCAGAGAATCTACCACTGTTAGGTTAACTTCCAGCAAGCCCTAGTTCAGGACAGAAGCTGCTGTTAAACACGCAGTTATGGAAGGAGTATGGTTGAGCGCTTAGGGCCTGGGGTTAGGGTTCTGGGTTCAGGCGTCCTGGGTTCTCTTCCACCTTCTCTGGACTGTTTCCTCATCTGTAAAGCTGGGAATTCTCTCGTAGCTCAGTGGCAGTGTTAAATAATGAGTGGGTGGCAAATGGTTGGAGATCGGAGGAAATGCTAGAGAAGTGCAAAGCACAGCAGACTGCATTAGTAGTGGTCGCCCTAGTTCTACATACTCCCCAGGATATAATCAACTTGTCCAGAACTTTCCACAGCCCGGGCTTCAGCTGCCCGACTCTCACGCTCCGCTTTTGTGTCTCAAAGCAGATCTCTCCAAGACGAGTGCTATTGATTCAGTATGTTCCTGATGGTTCAGAGCAACCTCTGAGCCACAGGCCACAAATCACAGCACTTGTAAAGCACGAACTAATTGTGCGTTTTAGACGTGTGCATTCTGGAGCAACAAGCCTTGTGAAAATTCATGTGGGAAAGTGGCCCTGCCCATGCTCCGTAGTGGGTTATTAACCAACACCGTCTTGGCTCATTTATCGTTTGTGGAAGAAGAGCAAAGAACCCTTTGAATCTAATCTAGGTGAATTGCTTGCCAAATTTCAGTCCAGTCAGGCCCGTCCCGTTTGACAGGTAAAGGTCTGGAAACACCTTCCATGGCAAGGTACAGCCCTGAGTAAGTTCTTATAACCGAGTGCACAGTCCTTGGAAAACAGGGTTACGCTAGGAGTCTTGACGTCAGCTTGAAGGGCAGTTTGTCACGAGAAGCGGCATCTTATTCCCCGGAGCTGTTTGCTCTTCTGGGCAGATGTGCGTTTGCTGGCCCTACAAAAAGCCCAGGCCTGCAGACCTGCAAGTCGGAGGCAGCAGGGGGCTTGGCTTGCGCCTCAGCTCCCAAGCGGAGATCACAGTGGTCGCTTGTGACCCTGACTCTGTCGTTTTCACTGAAAGAGCGAGATTTCGGATTTGTTTCTGCTCTGTGCCCCTGGAGGAGACCTGCTGGCAAAAGGGCACTTCCTTAGTAATGGACGCCTCTGCCCCGTTGAGAATGTCTCCTGGAAGGGTGGCCATCATTACACTGTCCAAAGCAAGGACCTGAGACGGGAGAAGAGCCGGCCAGTTAGGCCCCCAGGCTTCATTCGCCTCTTGTTTCATTGTGTGTCAAACTGCAGCTTTTTATTGCATGTCTCTAGTCCTTTTGTCTGAGGAGCTCGAAGCCCCTTCTAGACATCAGTCGAGCCGTGCAACATCCCCAAGAGAGATGAGCATGACATGGGGAAACTGAGGCACAGAGACACACACACACCCCCGAGAGTGCTGGAGTCAGGAACAGAACCCAGGAGTCCCCTTGACAGAGGCGGGTACTGCCCCAAACTCAGTGATACAATGTCTGGCTCCTTTTAGCTCCAGCAACCCCCAGGAGACGGGTGTTGACGAGCCTTTGCCAGGGAAGTGTCTCTGCCAGCCTCTTCCTTTCCCCTAAGGAAAGAGAGTGAGTAGCTCTGGGCACTGCATCGTGCTTAGCCATATGCTTCCGCCATGTCCCGCGAATACTGACAGACCCTTCTCTAAAGGCCGGGCCGCTGGATTGACTGTCACAAACTCCTCACTCTTCGCTTCTCTTTTGCAATTGGCTTCAGAGGACCTGGTGCAAACAAGGTCAGCGCTGTTCTGATTCTGGAGCCTGGAGTGTGGCTTTGAATGTTAACATTCAGGGTTGGGGGTGGCGGATGCTTTGTGCACAGGGGTTTCTGCTTTCCAGCGCCTGCTCCTATGCTGTGCCAGTGGTTCTCGTGTGGTGGGGAGGGGGCGGGAGACGGAGTCTTCCACCTGGGTGCCCCTCATCTCTAAGGTGGGAGCAGGGGCTGTCCAAGACCTGGTGCCAGAGCCATTAGATGGGGTGGGGGAGTGGGAATCAATGATGGGGCTCCCCAGTGAGTCGGGGCCTCTTCCCAGTCCCAGACTGCTTGATGCTGAGGGCAGCAGTGTAACCAAACAGGAGGTCAGGCCCAGCTCTGCTGTAAGCAAAGCTGTGTGACGCTGCCTGGGTAGAGCTGGCCCCAGCTGGAAAAGGCAGGAGGGCCGTATGTACTGGGTGGGGAGCCAGGCCCCGCTATGGCACGCTCAGGCTGAACCGCCTTGAATCCATCCGTAGAAAGCTCAAGAGTACCTCATCCCAGGTCCTGTGTGATCCGGGCAGTGGAAGCCCGTTGAGAGAAAAGCAATCAATGGGCAGGCGAGGAGCCCACACGTGTTCTGCCTTTCCCCTTCCATTCTTCCACATTCTGCTGTCTCTAGGAGTTTGCTTCTATCCATTTCATGCCCATCCCATTCCCGTGGCCCTCCCCTCTCTCATCCACCCCTGGCACTCGGCAGACCTGGACTCGTGAGTTAGGACGAGTAGGTGAGCATAGAAAAGAACATGCAGCAATCTGTAAATCAGACGTTCATGCCCTTAGCCTCACAGTCGGTCACGTGGCTTTGGTGCCTGTGAACACGCTTGGCTGCATTTACAAGAAAAGTCAAACACTGTAACGATGCGGCCAAGACTCGCAAAAACGGGGGCCTAAAGTTAAACTCCTGAGTCCTTATTTTGGCACCCAAATCGGTGACCTGGTTTTCCATAAGGCCGAGCACCCGGCTGCTCCCACGGGAGCCAGTGGCTGGGGGTTACTGACTCACAAATCCCGTGAAAACCAATGGAATTTGTGCTCCAACTCACAGGGGTAAATCTCAACCGCCGACTCCAAGAAGAGCCGCTAGGCGGCCCGGCTTTCGGAAACCCAGGCCACCAATTTGGTTCCAAAAGGAGGGCTTGGCAGTTTAACTGGAGGCACCGGTTTTCGAAAGGCTTGCCCTGTGTTGGCTTCAGGTGGCTGGTTTAGGAGCTACAGCTGGGCAGGATGGTGGAGCCTAACCTCTCTTCTTCCCCTGCTCTCTTCCTTCTCCCTTGTCCCTCTTGTCTCTGGATCCCTCTCTCCTTCCTCCCGACCTCCAACCACTACAAAGGGACGTATGGTTGTTGTCCCTGGCTCTGAAGGCGTGGGGGGTGGGTCAAGATCCATGGAGCCCCTCCAAAGGCTGCTGTCACATGCGGGTCTCGCCCTGTGGGAGGAGCCTGTGCAGGGCTAGGAAGTCCCAGGTGAAGCCCTAGCAGTTCCATCAGACAAGCGCATGTGCCACTTGACCTCTCATTGCGCAGGGTCCCGTGAGTCCGGCAGAGGGTTTTCTAGAGCCAGCGGGGGTAGCGGTGGAGTCTGCTGGCTGCAGCAGTGTCGAGTGGACCCATTGCACCCCGGCAGCTGCTCAGAACTGAGGGTGCAAAGAGAAACGCATGGCACTGCAGCCCTCCCTGCCTTCTCTCCCCCTTCTCCGTTCTGCAAAGACCAAAGGTCCCCTGAGGATTGGCTCACCACTGGCCAATCCCTTCCCAACGCAAGAATTGGCAAGAGGCTGGTGGCACAAACCACGGTGCAGTCTGGCTGGCAGGGTCGGTTGTGCGTCAGGAGCGTTCATTCAGGCATGGCTTTGCGTGGGAAAGCCTCACCTCTAATGGTGACGCTTGCAGTCAGAGATTTGCACTGGCTGCCTTGGCGGGGGGTGGTGGTGGGGGACAGCCGGACGAACGCTGTCTGTCTTAGATCAGTCTGCAGACAGAGCTGAGAGGGGCTGTGCGCGCGCCTGCAGGCTGAGATAATGCAGTGGGACCCTGCTCTGGTCAAATGAGACCCGATGCCCTGGAGACCAGGCCGAGAGGCCTAGCACTCACTCCGCGGGGAGATCCACTCTTCAGTCTGCTCGCTTCTCTCTGTTCACGGCAGTCCAGGGGAGAGATGCGGGGTTTGGAGGGTAAAGTCACAGGAAAGGTTTAAGCTAAAGTACCGTTACCAGAGAGGGGGGAGCTCCCTGCCCAGCCAGAGCTCACCCGGCTGGAGGAGACGCCGGACGCCGCCGTGTTCGTAAAGCTATCGCTGGTGGTTGAAGAGCTAGAGGGCGTGAAGCTGAACTCTTGCAGCTGTCTGAGCCCAGGAAGTGCAGGGCTGAGAGCTTTGCCGCTGCCCACTGGACGAGGTCCTGGGAGCGGGCCCCAGGTCCCTCTGTGCTGCCCCCACGGCCCCTGCACTCTGTCTGACAGCGGCGTTTCTCCCTGGCCTTAGGCCTCATCCGCACCGGGGCTTTTCCCTTGTCATAGAAATCCCTGTCCGTTCCAGCTGAGGAATTAGGAGAGACGGACACAGATAGTCAAGCAAGGAGCCCCGGGAGGGGCGATCCGTTTATTTCAATTGCAATTGGGTTTGAGCTCATAAGTCAGCAAGAACAAAGAAAACACTTACAGCAAAGCATTATATGCAGTTGCTTATGATAATCTATCGCTCTATGATTGGCCAAAATTTGCCATCATTCCCATACATAATTAGCAAGCTACATGTATCCGCCCCTCTTATGACCCCTTATTGTTCATCTGCTTGCCCCCTCCTTGCTTATTTTGCAAACTAAGCAGTTAGGTAGCTACAGGACCCAGGCACAGACAGATCCATTGTCTCCAGGTTTGGAGTTTGGCGACATTTCCTCTCGAAGGAACTTCCTGAGTTAAGACATAGCAATCGCTGTGCTGTATATCTCCCATGGGTACGTGACAAATTTGCCCCCTGGCAGTTAAGCAGAATAATTTTATATCACCCTGATTCCAGGCACAAGGGCACAGAACGGACAGCCGAAGCCAAGGGAACCTGCCCTGGTTCCCACTAGCTGCAGACAGCAGCTCTGCTAGGGGGGTTGCTCTGCCCCATGTGCCAAGTCGCATGCATGGGTGGGGCAAGTCCTGGCTCGGCTGGGCCGGCCAGCAGCCCCCCCTGGAGGGCAAGCACCGCGGTAGACGGGGTCTGGCAGGAGCAGAGCAGCAGGACTGGTTTGCTCCTGGAGGCTTGTTGCAGAATAGCACATGGGAGAGTTCCATTGTGTTAGCCGGGCTGAGCCATTGTGCATGTGTGTGCGTGTGCGTGCAAGGCTTCTCCGGGCACGGGACTCTGTCGTGACCTTCTTCTCCTCCCGCCCACAGAGACCTAAGTCGTTCCGACTCCGATTCCTCCTTCCTGTACATGAGCGACCAGCAGCGCATCCCAGGCTCTGCTCCCAAGCTCCTGGCCGCCAGGCATCCCATGCTGACCCGGTCCACAGAGGAGGCTGCTTCAGGCCACCCTGCCGGCTGCGCCCCGACCTCCAACGGAGGCAGCAGGCACAGCGAGGCCTCCTCGCTGGGGGCTTTGCAGGAGCGGCTGGCCGAGAGCCCGGTGGTGGCGAAGAAGATGATGATGCTGAACCATGGTATGGAGAAGTCCGCCAGCCTCGGGGAGATCAGGCACTCCGATTCCTCCCGCTCACACAGCCCCAGCTCCACCGAGCCCGACACGCCCTCCCCCATCTCTGACTCCAGGCCCGGCAACGCTAAGAACACCCGCATCCCACAGCTGGCCGCCAAGAAGAACGCCGGGGAAGAGGACAGCGGCTCCACGGGCGAGGAGACTGACTCCAGCCAGGGCAAGAAAAAGTTCCCCCTAAAGATCTTCAAAAAGCCCAAGAAGTAGGAGGAGGAGGAAAGCCGGCCACCAACCCAATCCATTGGGCAGGGAGGGGCGGGGCACAGAGCCACAAGCGAGGGCACCCTTCCCACCCCTTCCAGGAGCCACATGGGTGGGATGCTTGCGACTGCCCACCCCCTCCCCGCCCCCAGACACCCTCTGCCTCCTAATCAAGTTGTGTAAAATCCGCAGGGGGAGGAGCTCTTTAAACGTATTTATTTCCTGACGTGGAAACCAGCCGCCCCTTCTCCCTCCCTCCAGTTCAGTAGCCCCCTGCTTTGCTGTGCATGGCTTCTCATGCCTTCCGAGAGCCCCTGCCTCCGCTCGGCCACATGGCAGTTCGGGTTTGTTTAACGGTCTTTGATTTTCCCCCTTTCGGCTTCTTTGGGACTCCTGCACGCATGGCTCCTGATCGGCTTGAGAACCCGCCCAGGGGAGGGGTCCCTCTGGGCCGGACCCGCCGCTTGCATCTATGCACCCCCAGGGCTTTGGCCTTCCTCTCGCCTGGGCCGGGGCAGCGGCTCCGGGAGGTCAGGGCCGAGTCCTGGCTACTCAGGGTTGAATCCGCTGCGATCTCTTAGGGGTAGCTGCCTGGTGCGTGTCTTTGCACCTCTCTCGGGTGGGCAGCGAAGGGCACTTTGGGACAGGTGCCCCGTGGCTGGGGTGACTGGGGAGAGAGGATGGGGCTTCTGCGGTTTTGGCAGGGGAAAGCAGAAGGCGCGTGCCAGCTCGCGGGGCCAGGGCTTTGTGGGGAGAGAGCAGGGCCTGGCCGCTGGTGCTGCATTCAGGAACCGTGGCCAAGTCTATTCTAGGCAGTGTTTGTTTCTTTAGCTGGCTGCAGCCTGCTGGGTTTGTTTCTGAAGCAGGGCCTGCTCCGTGAGGATCCCCCAGCAGGCCCTGCCCTGTCTCAGCCTTCCCAGCCTCAGCAGCACGAGCTTCCCTCGGCCAGGGCCAGGCCCTGGGCAAAGGCAGTCGGGTGTGGGGGAGGCAGGTGCTGCGAACCCCAGAGCAGCTCCCACCAGGCCGGAGGGCCGCAAGCCATTTGGGGACAGCCGGGCACCTTCATTGAGCTGCCTGGGTGAGTCGGGCCAGGATCAGGGCCAGAGGCTGGGCTGCAGATCAGGGCCGTTCCCGGGGCCTGGACCCAGCGGGGTTGGGGAATGAGAATTCCCCTCAGGGGCAGGATACCTGGGGGAGGGGCTGAAATGGCTGGAAGAGGAGTCGGCCCTGCTGTGCCAGGCCGTGTCCAGTTCCAGCAGCCAGCCGAGGAGGGACGCGGTAGTGGGGAGGAATCCTGTGTTCTCGGGGGGAGCAGGGCTGGCTGCAAAGATCCCTGAGGAGGGAGGGGGGCTGGCTGGGGCCCTTGCTTGTAGCTGGTGGAAGATACTGGATGTCACGTCTCCAGGAAGGGCTAAGGAGGAGTTTTAGAGCCGGTAGCTAAATAATTACATTGTTGCTTTGAGATAAGTGAAAAATCCTCTACATTGCTTAAGTGCCTGCGATTCCTCACGCTCCTGCCCCACTGGCTGCTGCTGGCCACCTGGCTGGCCCGCAAGACGTCCTGCTGGAGGGGCGGCGGCTGCCAGCACGTGCCAGGTAGCCCTGGGTCACAGCCCGGGATGGGAATTACACCGGCCGCCGGCTCCTGCCAGCCTAGGGCTGGTCCCGAGCCACGCAGCTTGGATTGCACTGGGCAGTTTCAGACCAGCTCAGCACACCCCGCTGAGAGCAGCCTCGGGGCCTTGCCTGGCAGCAGTGCCCACCTCCCTCCCGGCAGTGGTTCCAGAGCAGGGTGGGAAGGGCCCCGGGGAGGTGTGTAGCCCAGGCCCGGGTGTGCGCCGCTTCCTCCCTGCCCTAAGCACGGCCCGTGGGCAGGGGTGCCCCAGCTGGGCCTGGCGCCCCGCGCCGATGCTTGCTGGAGAAGGCGGTGGCATTTATAAAGCAGCGATTGTGATGCATCTGCCAAGTCTGATTTGTTTTGTCATTTCATAAAACTGTTTTCAATCCAATAAAGCATGTAGGAGATTTTATGGTATGGAGAAGTCCGCCAGCCTCGGGGAGATCAGGCACTCCGATTCCT